TCCCATGTCCCTGCCTTGTCTAATGTACTGCAGAGGGCTATCAGCTTCCCACCTGCTGCCATCCTCTCCCCAGGGGCCTATGTGGGACACACAGGGCAGTGGCTGAAGACCCCCTTCCAGATCTTGCCGGGTATCTCATTCCTCTCCCACTCCTAGGATCTGACAGTGCTCTGCCATCTGGAACAGCTGCTCTTGGTCACCCACCTTGACCTGTCACACAATCGTCTCCAAGCCCTGCCCACTGCCCTGGCCGCTCTGCGCTGCCTTCAGGTAAAACATTCATTCCTCCCTTGCTGTCTTGGGTGATCCTTTTCCCCTTACCCCACCTCAGAAGTCTGCCCACCCTACAGAGATGTCCAGGACCTCTCAACCCCTACCCTATCACCCAGCCTGACCCCTCAAGCTCTTCCATGCTCTGTAAGCTGATCATGCTGGGCTCTTCCATTGCTTGTCCCAACCCCAGGATGACAGCTGCCTGCTTGGCCTTGTGCCCTGACTCTCTGCTCCCCAGGTGCTGCAGGCCAACGATAATTCCATAGAGTCCCTGGACGGTGTGGCTAACCTGCCCCGGCTGCACGAGCTGGTACTGTGCAACAACCGTATCCTTCGTCCTGGCTGCCCTGCAGACAGCACGTAGAGTGAGGTGCCTGCCACAGAGGGACGAACCGCAGACACAGACGGAGTTCTGTCCTGGGGCAGGGAGGGGTGCCGGGGCTCTGGCTCGGTGAGCAAGGGGAGATGATAGTCCGGAGCTCCCTGGGGCTATCATTAACTTGAACTGGTAGAGTTCTACAGAGTGTGACTTGCTCAAGCCAGAGTTCACAAACTGGGGAACTGTAGCTGTTTCTGGGAACCATGTAGTATTACAAAAAATCCGCAAGTTTCCTATTTTTTTTTTTTAAATCTGGAACTCTGATTTCTCTCTTTAAAATTAGAAGTCAGAGAAAATACTTCTCTGACTTCTGATTTTTAACCTGTATTTCAGCCCTTGGTCACTGCCGAATCATGAGTACCTCTGCACCAGGCTAGGTTCCCACGTTGCTGTCATCTCCACCACTCTTTCTGGTCACACGCCTGGCCTGCTTCCTGTGCTTCCTCCTAACCCTTACGGGCAGGAGTCTGCATTCCATACCCAGAACCTTACTGTCTCTATGGAAGCATGGGAGAGGCCCATCAGACAGTCTTCCAGGCAGCAGTGCCCAGCTGTCAGGGGTCCCCGGGAGCAAATGGGTGGTGGGAAGGGGACCTGCTGAACTTTCCTTGACTCTCAGCCCAAGACCTTCAGCAGCCTGCAGCGCTCCGATCTCTCGCCTCCTGCCCCAGGCTGGTCCTTCTCGACTTGCAGGGCAATCCGCTGTGCCGAGAAGCGGGCATCGCAGAGCACCTGGCCGAACTGTTGCCTTCAGTTGACAGCATACTCACCTAAGAGGCCTGCCCTCTGCCCTTCCCCTTTTAAATTATTGGGACTGAATAAAGAATAGAGAGGCCACCGCAGGCTGCCAAGTGCTGTCACCAGCATCCCTACATCACTGTCCCCATTACCGCTTCCACATGTTTCAGGAGAAGAAAGGCAAGATTCTTGGAAGTGGACCCTGCCTTCATTTGAAACTGCAGCCTGCTGCTCCCTGTCATGGAGAGCCAGAGCTTTCGTGTTTGGGGCAGAATTCAGGGCTAAAGGTCCAGTTGAGTACCATCTGGTTTGGGGTCGGGACCGGGCCCAGGTTCCAGGCTGGAACAGGGATTGGAATCAGATTCGAATTTGGACTAAGCTACAAATTACTTGTAAGTCTCACCAGCTAAAAGGGATCATAAAAGTTTCTCCCATGACCTCTGCCCTTTTCAGATGCCCTCTCTGTCCTGGCTGCGTCATCACAACTCAGAGGGCTCCGGCACTCTGTGTTCCAGGAAGAGCAGGTCCGGGCAGCCATGCTCCACCCTGTTGTAACAACAGGATCAGTCCCGGTGAACAGCACTCCGCAGTTGAAAAGCTCCGGGAATACTTGATCCCATTTGATCCTCACAGGCTCTCAGGGGTGAGATGACTTGGCCCGTGTGAACCGATGAAGAAACCACTGTTGAGACTCGCCCAAGGTTGCTGAGCTCTCAGGCGCTGGAGCCGAAGTCATCTGCACTGTGGCTTAGTGCTCCCGCACCATTTTCTTATTAATATGAAGCAGTTGGGCAGAGGCCCGGGCTCACCTCCCCGAGGTATTGAGCTGGATGTCGGTCCTGCTGCCAACCCACACACCTTATGCTAACTTTGAAAGGCCCTAAGGCATCTGGCCTCCAGGAGGAGAAAAAGGGAGTGCTCAGGGGTTAGGGCACGGAGTCAAATTTGGCTGGGCGGGGAAGGAGGAGGACTGAACCCAGAGAGTGTGCGTGTGTGACAAAGGCATTTTCCTGGTTCTGTGGATTCTGCCTGGGCCCACGTGTGCTCACACACATCCGGCCCCTCGGGCCGTGCCCCTTCCCGTGTCCAGGTGTTGCCCAAACAGCTCCACAACAAAGGCCTTTGGCTGAACTACCTCATACTGGGCTGGAATTTTGTGTGTGCTGAGGGTTTTGGAGGTGGAACAGATCCTCCAGGTTCTGGGGATGGCAAAGAAAAGAAAAAACGTGAGTGTGGAGAACTCGCTACCAGGTCTGGAAACCTCTTTGTCCCCACTCCCCAAGGCACATCCCTGGCCTGATACAGCTCCAAACAGCCTCTCCTCAAGTCTGCTTCCCCCAATTTTCACTGTCTTGTCTTCAGAGCCCTGGGCAGAGCTGGGACACCAGAGGGTTGGAGAGAAGCACCTGGCTCACAGACAAAGAGCAAGGCCCCTGGAAGGCCTCCCTGAAAACACTTAGCTCCTGTCTGCTTTGAGGTTGTCTCTGTGGCATCTCTGGTGTCTCTCAGAACCAGGGGTGGAGTTAGCAAGGACTTAGGGGTAGGTTCCTGGAGCCGGTTGGTCTGGATTCCCAAGAATTTCAGGTTGGAGAAGAGGGAGAATCCCCAGGTCCAGCCAGCCAGGCACTACTCTCAGAGAATGAGCTATGCCTATAGCCTGAGGCGGGGGCCTCGGCTCCCATCCAAGCCTGAGTTCAAACACCCTCAGGCTGGGGGGGAAAAGAGATTGCTCCTGCTCTGACTCCCTGATCCCAATCAGGAGAGATGGGAGAAGTGAGGGGCAGCTCATTCATTCAGGGACGCGGGGCTGCGGAGCAGCTGGAGGAAGGAGAGACGTGGAGGGGGTGTCAGAAGATCTGGTAGAGCCAGCCAGTCAGGGGCTGGCTGGTGGAGCCAGTCTGAAGGCCTGGCTGCTGATGACACCATTCTGCAGCCCAGGATGCTGGGACCTCCCTGGTAGAATGAGTTCCAGAACCAGGCCTGTGTGCCACTTTCACAGGGCCAAGTGGACTTACGCCGCAGGGGAGCTTGGAGCAGGGGCCTGTGAGAGCCCACAGGGCCGAAGGTAACAGGGACTTCCTGTCCCATTGCTCTGCACATGCCCTGTGTCTTTCAGCCCTGCTTAGTGTCCTCCGGCTGTGTCCCTTTACCTCCCGCCCACGGGTCTTGTCCTTTCTGGATTTTTTCAGTAACAATGCTATCCCTGCCCTATAAAGGGTACTGCGGAAAGGGGGTTCGCTCCTCCTCTTCGCTGCCTTATCTGCCCCCTATTCTACCTTCCTTGGCTCTTGTCCCAGTCGTTGTGGAATGTAGGGCCAAA